CAACAACCGACACTACCACCACCTCCCCCGACTCCAGGGATGAGGATCAGGACTACACCTGCCCTCACTGCGACCGTACCTTCACCTCACACATCGGCCTGGTCGGTCACTTGCGAATCCATCGCACAGAGACTGGCGAACAAGTGCGCGAAGCGCCAACCTACACCCACCGCACTCGCCTCCACTGCCCACACTGCCCTCGCACCTTCAGGCATCGCATGGGCCTTTTCGGCCACATGCGCATCCACGAGAGCGGCCTTGACCGCACTCCCGACACACCCACCACATCCAACACATCCACCGTGCACACCTCCACCCTCGTTCCATCCGTCCGCGCCACCACCACCACCGCCTCCTCTGTAGCTGACACTGACACCGCCGACTTCTCATGCCCAGACTGCCCACGCACATTCACCTCACGCATCGGCCTGGTCGGTCACTTGCGAATACATCGCACAGAGACTGGCGACCCGGTGCCTGGAGCACCCGCCTATACCCACCAAGCTCGTCTCAACTGCCCACACTGCCCTCGCAATTTCAGGCATCGCATGGGCCTATTCGGCCACATGCGCATCCACGACGACCTGCGGTAGACAACCGCCGGTTACACCACACATCCACACACTCCCTACCTCTTCCACCACCACCATCACCCCACCAGAAATCAACACTCACACACTTCATGCACCCAACTTTCACCTCCCACGCAAGTGGGAAGTGTGCATCTCGACTCGGTCCCCATGCGGCTTCGGCTGCACGGGTGACTTGAGTCCGAGACTATCCCGACACGTCAAGCGTCGTGGATAGGAAGGTTGCTGATTGACGCCCGCTCTCGGTTTACGCAGTTCGTCTCGTTGTGTGTGTGTGTGTGTTATGTGGAGTGGCGGACTGGTGGGCCGGGAACGGGCGGAAACAGCACCATCCACGGCACTCTCACGCAAGCGAGAGACACGCAGTTCAACCCCCGTTGTGTGAAATCCTGGTGTTGTGTGCATGGGGGGGCCAGGTCGTGCCGTGGCGCGCGCAGTCACGGTCATTCGACCATGACAGCCACCGCGCCCATTCCCCACTCCAGTCTGCTGACCGGCTCGGACAGCGGCTGGGGTGTGGGAGTGGGAAGGGAGAGTGAGGTCGACGACTCAGCGCACTTTCTCCTCACTATAAACAATCTGACGCGCTTGAAGCTATCACGGTGCGCTAAAAGCCGTGGCTTGGAAGGTTGCCAACTGACGGGGTAACTTGGACCTCCTCCTTGACCGGACGCGGTCTGAGAGTCAGGCTGCAATGGCTCCTTTTTAATGTGGCCTTTATGGCACTCCTATCACAGTGTGGGATCCGAGCCAGGCGTTGGCGGCACGCCCAGGTGCGGCTTCGGCCCTGCCAGCCTCCAAATCTCTTTTGTGTTGGTTGAAATCCTGGTTATTTGTTGTGTGGGCCAGGGGGTGTGGTGGAACGCCAAGGTGAGGATCCGTCCGAACCATCCACCTGCGGCCTCTCTCGTCTCCGGTCTTCTTGACTCTGTCTTGACATCGGGCTTGGGCGAGGGAGGAGGAGAGAGTGAAGGTAGATGCTACGCAAGTCTACCGGCACTATAAACCCCTGCGTAAGTCACCGTCCCTGCTCCCATTGCTGCTGTAAATGTGGGGCACACGGTGGACATCATCGAAAACGATGGTCGAACTGTCATTATTATTATTATTATTATTATTATTATTATTATTATTATTATTACGCCCTTAGAGAGCGGCTCTCCGAGTTACGTCTAATTTTAAACTCCTCAACAATTTCCCGGAAAGCCTCGTCTCCAGAACTCTTAATACGGCGTTTTCGTGTTCTCTCGGGCTCCTGTCCAAACATCATTAACAGTGGGTTAGTAGCAAAAAACAGACATAAATGAGTTGTGGCAAGTAAGTGTAACGACTGTCACTTCACGCGCTCCACGCCGTTTACGCAAAATAATGGCGTGGACGCGCATGCGTGCTATCGCAGTACTGCTAGAGAGAGGCGAGCAGTGAAATATCAGATTGTATAAGCAAGCTAGCCAATTACGTGACAGACCTGCGTATTAGAAAGATGAAGTTCTTTGGGAAACAGCAAAATTGAGACCTGCGTATCTCTATAAGTCGCTATTCACGTATATCTACTCAATATCTATTGCTTCTTGGGGAAAAATTATGCCCACACTCTCAAAAAGTCGCTCGAACTCGAGAAACGAACCATTAAGGCTACACCTACTTGAGAGAACATACCGCAGTCGACGGGCACGTCCTTTACCTCTGGTCCCGGATAGACAAATGTTTGTGCCATCATGACCGTAAATTAGTGAACCTTTTGGATGGTTGAGGGTGTAACTGAACAGTTATTACCTGCTAAGGAAGCCGTATATTTATCAAATCTGCCTGTAAAAAGTTGCCAAAGTAGACATTTTATCTGATCTCTACTCGTCCTATGCTGATTATTCCCCGAATAGCTGAAGTGAAACACGGGACGATTGTGGCTTGATTATTATTATTTTTGTTCACAAGAAGAATAGGTTTCTGCCGTAGGTCTGCAGTGCGATGTTTTTAGCTAAAAAAGGCAGCTGCAGAAATTTCCTTGTCTTGGTTTCTGAAATCTCTTTTTACACATTATGTACCTTCAGTACGGAAATACACTTAAGGAAGAATTTTGGCTCAGTGCGCCAACCAAACCATTTGTCATCTTTGCTTTGTTATTCTTTGCAGAAACTCAATTATTGTGCAAAGATATCATGTGGATAAACAAAAACAAACATTGAACATGGTATTACGGCTGAGGATAGTGGAGAAATGGGAAAATGTTTGTCTATTACACAACAATTCCACATTTTGCAACCGGAGTGGGTTGAGGCGTGGAACGCCTACGGGTTCCGAAGTTGGGAGAAACAAACACTAACGTCTCAACTAATCAAAGCTACGATTACTGCTCATCATTTAAGGGATCTGTAATCGGGAGTTAAAGTATGGTTGGAGGCCGATCTCGTAAACTGTTAAGCAAAATTCTGAAATGTGCTTTAGATTAGAAAGGATTTATTAAGTGGGGTTGCTATGTCTGTTATCATGTAGCATAATCATCAAGTATTTTCAGTCACACCATGATGTCGGCTTTTGAGTAGGCCTATTTTCGGCCGCCTGGAATAACTAGACTCGGCAAAAACGACTACTTAATCAGTATGAGTTTCCTCAATTGATATTTGATACCCTTATAAATTCAACTATATTTTTCAGAAAACACAACCAAAATTTTCTTTATGGTATTAATTTGTTTGCGGTGACGGTATTTTGCGCCACCCCACTTAACAATCAGCAACCCCAGACTCGTGTAATACGGGAATGGTGCTAATAGGGGTTCTGCGGGCGGGATATTGGAGCAGAGACGGAACGAATTGTGGGCAGTGAAACAAAAAGAAACTGGCTTCCGCCAAAATTTTTCGCCTACGCCTATACATAACGTATTTGAGTCTATTAATTTAAAAATGAAGAAAGCAGGTCCTGATAAATAAAAAGTACGTGAATAAACCGCCACTTGCAAATATGGGACATACAGCCAGTAGGAAAGAAGGACAATAAGTGCCGAATAGTCCAACTGTGGGAATTTACTGCCAGACGATATAGCGCACATGAATGTTGGAGAAGCTGCGGAAATACACCCTAATGAAGAAGAAAAAAGTCAAATAACGTAAGCATGAACGCATTTGTGTGTCTGCATAATAAGTCAACTGGCTAATGTACTTAAAAAATTTAAGAAAAATAAAATACACTTGTAGAGACTATGTACATAAATTAAATTCGTTTATGAACAGAGTAAGTAATAACGGTCTTTTTTCTCTTCCAAAATACAGACCATCGGCTCCAGGTCGCAGAAAAACCAGGCAACCGCAGGTTGATTTTTTAACGAAGGAGGAAGAAATAACTGAAGCTATAAACTCGGAGAAGGTGGTGGAATACTGCCAAGCTAGGGGACTGCTGCCGTATGTGGTAAAATGCCAATGTGGACGGCCAATGCGTCAGCAAGTAATGAGGCTGCACACCGACGGATATGTGTTCCGGTGCAGCCGATGTCGAAAGCGGAAAGCTCTAAGAAAAGGCTCGATTTTCGAAAGCAGTCGACTGACCATCAGGACAATAATGAAAATATGGCTGGCATTTATAAGAGGCATGAGAGTGAAACAGTGCGCTGCGGATATCAGAATAAGTCATACTACTGCAGTGCAGTGGTATGCACTTTGTCGTAGTATCTGCTCCACCGCCCTAATGAACGAAAGAAAACAGATCGGCGGTCCCGGGGTTGAAGTACAAGTTGATGAATCACTAATCAGCCGGCGCAGAAGGCAACTTTGGCTAGTAGGTATGTACGATACCAGACGAAAGAAAGCACTTTTTGACCAAGTGAACGATAGAAGCTGGCCAGCTCTGAGAGCTGTCATAAAGAAGTGGGTGGCCAAAGGAAGTATAATAGTAACGGATGAATGGAAGGCGTACAAGCGCCTTCCATCAGAAGGCTATGAACATTTTACTGTCAATCATGCCAAGCATTTGAAGGATCCGACCACAGGAAAACATATCAATACGATCGAGGCGTATTGGAAGAGACTAAAACGAAAACTCCACGAAGGGGGACCAGTGTCTGGTCGTGCAATATGGGCCCACGTAGATGAGATCCAGTATCGTTTATGGTTTCGCCTAGACAGCGTTGACATAAAGCAAGCTTGGGAACTATTCCTCTCGCATATTGCGGATGCATATCCTCTGCAATATCTTCCCAAACAGGCCACCTGAAAGACTAATTTCACAAGACAGTTCAACGACCGTTTGTAAATTTTTGTAAATAAACTATAATACATTTAAGTGACCTATTATTGGTTATGGGACGGGCTACGCGCAAGCATTTTTGGATAAGCACATAAGTCACCGAGGATCCGTTCGACAAAAGAAACCGTTTGGGGATGTTGGGGAAGCCGAGCGATTGTGCTCTGGCCGAGATAAAGTAAACTTAACACAGCTGACGATCCTTCCAACGCCCGTTGTATGTTGAGTACCGACATGTCACAAAAGGCTGAGGTGGTGTATTCGAAGAAGTAGGTAAGTCACGACGTACGCGTTCGATAACGGAAACCGTTTGGAGACGTCGAGGGAGCCGAGCGCTTGTGCTTTGGCTGTGTCAATGGAAATTAAACACAGCTGACAATCCTTCAAACGCCTGTTGTACGTTGACTACGGGCATGGCATAAAAGACTAAGCTGATGTATTTGAAGTAGTAGGTAAGTAATGGTGCACGCGTTCGATAAAGGAAACTGTGTGGAGATGTTAGGAAAGCCGAGCGTTTGTGCTCTGACCGAGATAAAGTAAACTTAACACAGCCGACGATTCTTCCAACGTCCGTCCCATGTTGAGTCCCGACATGGCATAAGAGGCTAGGCTGATGTATTCGAAGAAGTAGGTAAGTCCTGGCGTACACGTTCGACAACAGAAACCGTCTGGGGACGTTGAGGGAGCCGAGCATTTTTGCTCTGAACGAGACAATGGAAATTAAACAGCCGACAACCCTCACAACACGTCGTGTTGTGAGTACCGACATGGTACAAAGGTCTAAGCTGGTCTTCCTGAAGTGGTTAATAATTTCCGGAATCTGCTACAGGCGTATATTCTATTTCTTTCTGAATACCAGTAAATCAAGGTAATTTAGGCGATTACGGGTTTCAGGGCATGAATTCCGAGTTTGGCCTCATTGTGGACTATAAATGAGTAAAAGTTGTACCGTTATTTCTGTGTGTTCGGTCATATCAATTTGCGATTTAACGTCAGATATTTTTTTCGTGTTACTGTGAATTTATAAACCAAGCAGGGCCTACTCTATAGACAAATGAACGGAGTAGCTATAGGCTAGCTCATTGGTCCGCTTTTGGCGAATATATTCATGGGGAAGTTAGAAGCTTCCAAGCTTCCTCGCCAGATCACTCGTCTGAGATGCTATGTGCGTTACTTGACTGATGTACTCGCGATTGCACCGAAACAAAATGATGCCTCAGTTTTACTGGACGGCATCAATCAGGCGCACCCATCAATCAAACTTACGCTGAAAGGTGAGCAGTTCGGATAGTTCGCCTTTCTGGGTGTGCTTTTTGAGTGGAAGATCTGACGATAGTGTTCGACGTAGCGTCTATCGTAAGAAGACGTGGCCCGCACAATAGACCAGTTTTGAGAGTTTCGTACTGTTTAACCTGAAGCGTAATTTAGTCCGCTGTTTGACCCAAAAAGTAAGGAGAATTTGTTCGACTAATAGCATTGGGATAAAACTGAAGATTGTCGAGGATCTCCTTCGTCAAAACGGGTACCCCGATTGATTCAGTGCCAAGTGCATGACCGAAAGACCACCGAAGCCTCCGACGCTTACGGCAGATAAGAAAAAGCTTCCTACCAGATTTCCGTTTCGAGGGGACGCGCCGTTTGAACTTCTGAGAAGGTGCCTAACTCAAGCTGTACCACGCACGTATCCGGCAGCTGACGCCTGTGTGCTCCACCGCTAGTCCCATTCTATGCGGAGGGGTCAAGGACAAACTACCAGCCCAGACTACCTCTATATATATATATATATATATATATATATATATATATATATATATATATATATTACTCCTTCACCTGCTCCTATGGAGCAGGACGTATTGATCGCGCGAGACGGCGTTTGTCTAAAAGAATAAGAGGACACCTTCCAGCATGGTTAGGAAAGGGCCAGATAAAGAACGTTAACGGCTATATCCTCTTGCAGACACAGACCACCGTGTGGATGCCGGACAGGGCTTCCGAGTGATTCACAAGGTTCCGTCAAGCTATCCCAAATCACTTGAACAGCGTCTGTTAGCAACTGCATAGGCGGATGCAATCAGGTTACGCAAAGCAGTCCTATGTGCGCAGAAGAATTTCGTACAGACCCCACACTGGCTAGCCAGCCAACCTCGCGCACACAATTACCCGTCCCAGTGCTTATCATTCCCCTACCCCCCCCCCGATACTGACGGTAATTTTGTCTTTCACTTCACCCCCCCCCAAACCCCAACCACAGAATAACTTATACTTCCCCACACTTTCTTATTTATCATTTCCGTAACAATATAAATGTACAGGCCTGGAGGGAAGTTATCGAAAGCAAACGTATGCTCGCCAAATTGCCTTTACAATGTAGTAGTTTGCTAGGCAACCTACCCTCATCAGAATTTTTTATAACTTGGCGGTCTCCTTTGTGCGAATAGGAAATTTCGAGAAGACGCATTATTCTTGCGATCTTTTACAGGAAGGGATACTTTTATTCATTTTTTTTTCATAAGGTGTGCCAAAGTTTATAATGGCGCAGGAAATCGATGTGACAAATTCGTGCTGCTTGCCGTAGAGGTGGTAGCCTGAAATGCCATCATTTTTACAAGAAAACCCCTTTAATGCTAAATACGCCCTCGCCCATCAACCATAGTCGTTCAGAAACAAAGAAAGGACCGTTTTTTTAAAAGAGGGCACCGTTTGATTTGTAAATCACTATTTGCTGGTATAAAAAACATCAGTCTTTACTGACAGGTCGAATTTAGTTAGATGACCATATTGCAAATCAATTAAATAAGTCTGACTATAAGGGCACATGAGGAAGAGAGCGAATAAAGTGAGGAAATGATTAGTAAAATAATAAGAAATCCGAAAAGCAATGCCTTGTTGACCGTCGGTCTGCTCTTAACAGAGTAAACGTTTCCCCCAACATACGTGTACACAGGTTGTCTTTAGTAATTTGTTCAGTCTGATTTTCTGGTATAACAACCCTTTCTTGGATCGGAAGCCTCTTTTTGACTTGTGCAAAGATTTTTGGTAGGATTACGATCCAGGCTGTTGACAAGAATAAAAGTTAACTGGAGGTCACATGCGGAGAGGCTGGTTGTTGTCTAAGAAGTTTCCTTATATTTGCAAGTATTATGTGATTCATGCCCCTTTACTAGAGCATTGTCGTGTAAAATTATGATTTGCATTGCACAGGCCACTCTGCTATGATCTCAGATGGTCGAGATAATCAAATTGTCAATATTTGCAAAGAAAGTCCACTAATGAATGACTAAAGGGGACCCACTATGTGTTCGTAATGGAATGAGTTTTCTGCGAAAACTAAAATTGTTTTCAGCACTGCGTACAACATTGTACACTAAATGTCGTAGTCGACAACATGTTTTAGCTGCACCTGTGAAAAACTCCCCAAAACGCAAAAAACTTAGTTCCAGCATAGCACATAGTGTGTGTGTAAACCACCCAGGATAGAACAGAATAGCTACGTCATGGCCAACCAAACAAGTGTTTTGGTAACAGGGAGCGAGTAGTCAGGTCATTTGGGTCAAAATGTGAAGTTAAGCACAAATAGGCGCTACTTCATGCCAATGAAGCGGCGAATGGGGCTTGCTGAGGATGGCAAGCACATAATTTTGCACTGCGAAAACCAGTGTGGCGCATCGCACTGTAGCCAAAGGCACCCTCTAAGACCGCTAGGACCACGTAACAACGGGTTAGAGTGGATGGGGGAAGATTAGATGTAGCATGTTTGCGCTTACAGTTAGTACAGAAAATCCGAAAAAATTAAGTCACTCTGTATGATCCACAAACTGGTGAAAATATATCCAGCTTTACACGTTTTCATCTACTTAACTACATATTATTACTCAGCTCACTTGCAGTGCTCACTTGTGTCGTTTCAGTTTTTCATGCTAGCCGTTCACCGGTTATTATTTCCTGGCAGATAATTTGACTTTTAAAAATTACGACAGTTTGTTCAAACAAGGTTAGTCCCCAAGCTCCGGGATTGTTTCTTAGAATTGTACAAGAGGACTTTAAGACAGTCCACCACCTGGAATGATAAGTGGGATGCGCTTTCGGCGCGAATGCAGAAGGGGAACTTCTGGCTCTTCACTAGAGTCATTTTTTTCAATCTGTAATTACCCATAGTTTTAACTGCTTTAATAAGCTTTTCAAACCGTTGATTTTGCAGCTTTCTGACCGCCCCCACTTCAGCGTATGCCCCAGGTGTGCGATTTTTGGGAATTTCTTTATCTCCGTCCTTTTGTTCTTGAGAAAGCTCATTGTCCAAATGCTCTGTGGACTGGTTCCAACTTGCGCTGCTTTACATGTTCTATAGCAAGCATGCATCTCCGCATCCTTTTATGAAATTTTGTAGTAAATTACATCCTCCTCCAAATTCCTCTCCAAATAAGGTGTACCTTTCAGTTTAAAAGATTCTTTTAAATTCTCGAATAATTCTAAATCCCACCTATCGCTGCACCTTAGTTTAGGACTTCGAAACTCCAACCTCTGTACTTTCAGCCTAGAGAAAATCGTGCATTCCCCTGCGCTATTAAGAAGGTACCATGTAGTGCTCATAATACTTTTCGAACGCATTAAAATGGGCGGATATAATGCTACTTGACCAAACATCTCGCAATCCTGGGAAATCCCTTTACAAACTGTCTGGTCAGCCGATACACTAGATCGACACGTACTACTACCATCTGACTAGATATCTCCGATCTTAGCCGTCATGGCGTGAAACCATAATGCGTCTGGCCTGTTGTACTCCCAGCGATCTGCTTACGTATGTATAAGGTTGTCGTGTGATTTTGAATTTGCGTGGGCTCAGGCGTCTGCCAAGCTCCTTGGTTCTGGGGTATCACCGACTTGTGATGACAAAGAAACCAACGTACTCAGAGGTCTGGCTCTTGCGGTTTTACGATACCTGTACAAACTACTCATACATGCTAGTAAGTCCGATTTATAAGCATTACTTTCACCAAATTTGTTAGGCATAGCGTTTGTACTGACAGTTAGATACGTTGACGCTCAAATCTAAAAAGACAGACCTGTTAGTGAAATAACAAAAGAAACTAATGACTTTTGCGAGCTAAAATTTCGTCTCCCTTTATCATCTCAAGAATGTTCCTGGCCTTCCGCAATCAGGTCATTTTTTGGGCAAAATGTACAAACAAGTTTTCATCCCTAATTGAATGTGAGGGTTTAGAGATTTCTAACTTGTCTCTACCACTTTTTATCCTTCTTACTAGGTAGTCGGAATTTGCATTAATAGGTGGAGCCGTATCTAAGCAGTCAGTAAATCTTAACCTCTTACATCAGCACACTGACGCAAAGGATTGCCTAACATTTTGATACACCAGTTGGACTCCTGGGTGTTTGTGACCAACTATTGGCAATGGTCTGAGCTCAACGAGGCAGCGACCGCACCCTAAACCTCGACTTGTCCATCCAATAGGCAGTCTTCTAGACTACGAACGTTAGCGCTTTTGGATAACTTGGAATCGCCTTTTGTCGTTTTTGGTGAGGATCGACTTCGCTCCTTCTTCCTTCTGCCATCCAGCAGTGTCCTCTCCCAGTAAAGTCGACAGCGAATGGGCGTGTGCAGGCGCCCTCTAACACGTTTCACATGCATGCCTGACTATATTTCACACAGTCTAACTAACACACAACATAATTCAAATTGACCAAGCTTTGGCCTGACGTAACATTTGCGCAGTCCGTAAGGAGAACCGACGGGCATGTCCTAACCCTAGGTCGGACACAATTGGAATCAGGGCCCAGATTAATCGGTTTTTGTTAGTTCAGTGATCTATCATTGTGTTTTACTGCCAACCTGTCGGCTTCTGTCAGGAGCGACTAGAATCGCATGCAAAGGTCGTCAACCGATATAGTTCGCTTGCGTGATCAAATGGGATACTAGTGCTAGGTCTTTGCGTTTCAAGTCCGAGCTCCAGCCCTTGGTAACTCAGGGATGACTGGGATGTAAGTAGAAGTTTTACCAGCCTACACAAGGAAAACTCGTCGCAATTGGTGGGTAATTAGCGCTCTGAAGTTTATAATGCCAGCTGCATCGCACATACAGACAGTGTATCACGATAAATTAGACTTTGTAAAAGACGTGAAGTATATCACCCCTACCCTTATATTACTCAGTTGCGGAGGACATCAAGAGTTGATAGGAGTACTTTTTCGGGGAAAACTTTTTAACCCGAGTGCACACAAATTACTTCGTGCTAAAATCCAGTCTAAATCCTTTTTCAGAGTTACACAAATGGCGGAATGAGCGATCATCAGTATTTATTCTCGGTATCTTGGTTATATTCGTTAACTCAAAATTTCTGTACAACACTTCCGAAATATAAAAATAATGACCTCTGATCAGGATCCATGCTGGGTAATGTCGTCCGACAGTTTACATTGGTGTGACTCTCTTAAAGGTTACACGTTTATATCACAGACTGCGCAGAGGGGTTCGTGCAGGTCTTCAATTCGCCTACGTCATGCGCTGATGGCTCAGGGTTTTGAAGGAGTAGTCAAGGACCGTCGTTTGCTCGGCCTCTTCGGTGGACCGTGTTGGATGCTGGCCCTCAATTGACTGGGACGGCTGGGCCGCTGAGCACAGCTGTCGGGGGACCATGGACGAGGATGGCGACTGCGCCTGCAGAGGAGGTATGCTGTGGCTGGACGGCCTCCGAGGTACCTTTTCAAAGGCGCTTGGTCGTGACGGGGACACTTTCGCAAGCTCTTGCAGATAGAGATAGTAGTAAGAACGGTACTGGTCCACCCATGAGAAAGGATACACCAGGGAAGGTCCAGACTGACGGGGCTCGGAAATGAAGCTGGGGATACCTTGCTGGTTGGGCGGGGTCCAGACTAATTCCGGCTGGTTACCAACTTGAAACTGCGATGAAGTCGATTGTAGCTGCGATGACTGGGTAGGACTGAACAGTAGGAAGGGGGAAGGGAGGGGGAGGTTTGAGGGCGGTCGGATTGGTGGAGGGGCATGCAGTGGATTGGGTATAGTACAGGGATCCCTGGTGAGAGTTCCCCAGTTTGTCGTGCACACCGTAGCCGCCGCCGTAATTGAATTCGTCAGTACTGCGTTTGTTCCGATGGAGGAATTGCCTGGGATGTCCTCAGGAGATGTGGAATTAATGGCTCCTAAAATTTAAAGTTTGTATGTGATTTCTGATGGTACAGACAAACAAAAATTTGCATAAGATCGATTGGACAAAAAACAGCGAAATTCGGCGCTGAACAACATTCCGTGCATTGCTGATCTATATCACAGCCGATATTGGGATTCCGGCGTGCTCACGTGGAGGTTGCCTACAAACAGCAACTTCAGTCGCGTCCCTCTGATGGATGTCCGATCACGCTGAGAGTGCAGTTTGTGGTCTAAATCTTTAGGGTACTACTGCAGGCATTATTTCTATGGGTGGTATAATCTGCCTTGCGTCCTCGCATATTGTATATTTTAAAATATTAATCAAAAAGCCGACGCAATTCTGTTATAAATGACGCTGGTCCCATCAGTTCCAACCTGGTAAGCACACGTGGGACTTACGCATATGGCTTCGCATGTGTGTCTTCAGAGAACTCTCCTGGGCGTAAGACTTGCGGCAAACGGAACATGTGTACGGTCGCTGACCTGAATAAAGAAAAACTGGTTTAATTATCTGTTCTCGAAGGTTTTTTTCGGTAAAGTTGTGATTAACGGCAGTAGATTTGAAATAGATGTGGCTGAGAAAATCCGCGAGTTCAGTGTGAGTAATGAATAATGGTAAAAGTCTCGACAAAAATAAAATGCACATCTGCACGTATCCAACACCGCCGTGAATAGGTGATAGGGGAACTCCGGGGTTGGGAAGTGTGGAGCAAGAGCACTTCGTGTGTGGCTTCTTAATCATCCGTATGCGTCGGTACGTATGCGAGAAAGATTAAGCTTTGAACGTTTTTGTGTCATTTGACACCAAACTTCATTTTCTGTCAGAAATTGTAACACGGAAGTGACTTCCCTATGGATTTCATAAGGCATTTTAGAATTTTTCTAGTGTCAAAGCCGTTCGTGCCGCTCTCTAGCGTAATCGCGCCGTCCAATCAGACAAACGCATACCTTGCCGGACCAGCCTGCATATTTCGTTCGTTCGGTCGGGCACGAGAACATGGACTAACCCGTACAACAAGTTAGCTCGCGCTAAATACCAGGGATACCGTGTCGCAACTTTATCTCTAAACCTAATCCAATCTCCCAGAATTTAGTGCGCGGCCTCCTGTAATATGGGAGGGGGTTCATAGTTACATATCCAATCACCTGTCCTAGCGAAGTCATTTAAGAGTAGCCTTATCATGCGACAGTTGGACGGTAATTGCCAACGATGTCCACCGTGTGCCCCACGGCAGGGCTGACGCAGGGACGGTGAATTGCACGTGAATTAGTTTCTAATGATAGTAGACTTACGCAGCGTCTACCGCACTCTCTCCTCCCTCACCCTCCGGGGCCCGGTGTCAAATATGAGTCAAGAAGACCGGAGCCAGGGTCGGACGAAGGCTGTTGGCGCGACGTGAGTCTGCACATAGGCGTGCCACCGCACCACTATACATCACATTCGTTCAGGATACACAGACTAATACCGCGTGCCAGACCCTGATCTGGCTCCTCCATCTACCACATGGCACGTTGTAGGGTGCACAATCTGCTCATACCGGTTGCTTCGAGCTCTTTCGCTGCATTTGCCAGCCTAAAGGGTCAAACGGTAGCCAAACCACTCGAAACCAGTATGCCCCGACGTCGACTGTTTAACATCTACCGGAAATCGGAGCGTAATTTATTCTACCACATCGTGCCGTCTTTGATGAAGGGTTGTCAAGACTTTTTCTTGCTTGAAGTCTATAAGTGTTTCGTTGCTTACCTGTATGTGTCGTTTCGTGCGCCTTTAGATTGCGTTCTGTGGCAAATCCACGGTTGCAAACGTCACATCGGAACGGCCACTCTCCGGAGTGTGTGTACTCGTGTTTGCGCAGATCTCCTGGCGTCACGAAGGCCTTGGGACAGTGCGTGCACACATGACGTCGAGTCTGCAAAGGGAAAGTCGGCGTTTCACTTTAATCCGCCAATAGCGTGCCGACCTGAAAAACACTCGTTCGGTGTTCAGCCTAAGATACGACAGTGTTTACATGCAGCACACGAGTGTCGTAAGTTAAGACAAAACGAAAATCAAATATATTAATATTTTTCTTCCACTCACGTTGGTATGGGTGTACCGATGAAAAATCAGATTGGAGCCGGCCGCAAAGCGCCTACCGCAGACCCGACAGACATACGGTCGTTGACCAGTGTGTGTCCTTTCGTGTGTATTCACCCCGCTTCTAGTCGAGAAGCCTTTCGAGCAAAATCGGCACTCAAACGGTCGCTCACCTGGATGATGAATAAAAGGTTAAGCTTAGTTACGTGAATAATGGTTCCTTTGAACGAATCTTGCATGAGAAATTACTTCAGGCAAACGACCCAACTAGCCATTTTAATCGAAGCTCACCGGTGTGTGTTAGCGTGTGCCGTTTTAGAAGAGAGGGCCGATCAAATTGCTTGTCGCAAAACTCACAACGGTGCATTTGTCGCTGACGTCTGCGAACCGTTGAAATGACGTCTGTTGTTTTTGTTTCATCTACAGGCTCCAATCCTGAAGGAGTAGATGTGGTCGAAAGGACTGCCGACTTGTTGAATGTCAAATTTCCAAAATCCGCCTTTAGTGTTGTGTCAAGTGCCACTTTTGGGAGGGACACTGTCTTTCCGTCGAATTTAGCCGTCATGAGGAGCGTCTGCTGAGTAGGAGTTGAGAGGCCTTGGCTGTCAAGCGACTGTCTCGACAGTGTCTTCATTCGCATTCTCTTAGCTGATCTCACACATGGCGTTGATGTCCCTTTGGGCAGGGCCGCTGCCATTTTCTGTGTTGAAATAAGACAAATTATCATCAAATTTGGCTCGAGGTGGTCCTTTGTCCTTGTTCATATTTGCTATCAACTGCAAATGCACCACTCATCTTCTTGAATGTGATATAAAACGCCCGTTCCCAAAATGCATTCCAAATCAGCTGACTGTATAAGTCAGGACAGCTACAGGACGGCCAATTTTCTGAACGGGTGTAGCCGATGACCTTGACGTCTATTTCATAACATCTTTATGCTGTTTTTCCCTTGCCTATATCTTGTCTTGATTAATCACCTGTGCTTATTATGAGGACATGTTAACCCAAACTTACTCTAAGGTAAGTGCACATAATCGCGTTCACCATTCGAATCGATTAATTTGCTTGGGTAATGAGGTCCTCCCATCCGGAAGGAGGCAGTTTTTGCTTCAAAAACCTCATCACCTCCACTTTTTAATGCTGCCGCCCCCATCAGACATGCAGAATAGGACATTATTCTTGTTATCTGGCCTTTTCAGGTATGTTCTATATGCTAATGAACAAGAAAATACGACTTTCTCTGAACTTATAACGTTTGAGAAAATAGAGCATTCAGCAGCCACTCAAGGCGGACTGCTTCCATACACACATATTTACGAAAATAGACGTCATCCAAAAAGGCAAGAAAAAAAACTTATACGTACTTTTGCAAGCTCCTGTTCCTGCTCCGGACTGGTGGTGGAAGAGGTGGAAGCCGAAGAGCCATCAGTGTACTGGGTTGTTCCGATGCCACTGTCTAAATAGACAAACTTTTGCTCAAAACCAAGTTGTGACTTGGAAATTTAAACTGCCACGCTTGAAATCTGCAGAAATGACTCAGAAAACTCCGTCAAAGTGTCGAATCTTGCTTGGAGGAGGGATACTCTTTTACGGATTAAAACTGGTGAACATCGGGACACGTTCTGTCCTCGGAACCCTGCCAAAATCGCGGATAATTGCAGTTGTTCAGTAACTACCTGCGATTTCTCTTTTAAAATATTCATAAAACGAGGTGCCTGCTTTCTTCCAATGAATTGGCAGTTTCGTGCCTACAAAGGCAATCGCCTTGTTTGCCAAATGTTTCGCATTTTGTCGCGATAGGCTTCTGACGGAAACTTAATTAAATTTGTCCATTTTAAGCTTGCCAATTAATTATATCTAACTAAAAAACAAACTTAATCAGAGGGATATTTCACACTGAGATGATGTGGACGGCCCACTAGTTGACGGGCGAAGTGAAAACAAAAATAAAGGCAGCAGTGAACCGGACAACGTCTAAATATATAAGCTTGTGCTTCTATCGATATAACACGCCTACTTACTTTATTCGGGTAGGCTTGTTATATTAGAGCTACGCTCCTTACCAAGCTTAAGAATATGATGGATTTTAGTCTAGGTTATGGCCGTCTTGAATATTAGGACTAGGGAAAAAGGTAGTGTTGGGGCTGGGGTTGAAGTTAGGATCAAGATTATCCGTCTCGCACCCTTCTACTCGATCCTACCTTCTTCAACTAATAACACTGGCTTATCTGTTTTCGGCCTGTTTACACGCCCTACTTCTCATCTTGTAAATGGTGCAGTCTGCTCCGGTACACCGCTGGGATGATGAAACAAGCATATGACACAAATGCGTGTTTTCCCAGTTCCTCCCACAAATGCCGTGGATTGCCGTGCGCAAATGCTACACAGATGAAACTAATATCGACACCCCTCCTGAACTACAGAAGTCCCTGGGCTCTACCTTCCCAGAGGACTTACATCTTCAATCCTTACCTAAACTATTTCGAATAGACCTACTTAATCGCGACATTGTCGGAGGTGCCGTTGCTGATAGAGTGCCCGAGGGTGGTCAGCGATTTGTTCCTAATCTGCATCTCTACAATGCCCTGGTCATGCCCGTCCATCATATCTCCTTAGTCTCCTTCTAGTATTTTTTTTCTATGTCCTGTCATTAGACCTTCATGTACAGGGACTGCTGCTCGCGTCTCCTATCTGGCTACGTAGACGGGACAAACGTCACTTAAAAGCGAAATGGGTTTATCTCACCGCCTACCAATAGCGCGTTGGTTCCTTGGGGCATCTAAGCTGACCTTAGGAAACCCCCAACGGCTGACGCACCGTCAGCTGTTAAAAATCAACATGTCTGGAAGTGGTTTA